TGGGCTGGGTTAGACTCTGAAAGGTACCTACTTCTTTATGTATTCTCCCAAACAGTCATCCCTGGATTGTTCGATACCAAAATCCAATTTCACTTGGATTAGCTGTGGGTTGCTCAGAGCTATTCATTGAATTAGGAACGATTACAGCAGAGGGAGCCCCACAGTTCTTTATTAAGGTCTTTGTGGAAACACTAAGTGATCTTTAGGAGATTAAAGTGCCGGTGGTGTTTTCTTAACATTTATAACCTGTGCCGATACCTGGGGAGTTTATTTATTAAGAAAAATTCTACATCCAACAGTCCTCCTCCTAATAGGACTGTGTCGCTATGGGCCTATAGTGGTTAGTCTTAATGCACTTGTTCAGAAACTCTGCAAAATGCTTCTCAGGCTCATCTCTTGGGGTTAAGGGATTTTTCCCATTTAGTAGGGTCCCTTGTAGTGGAAGCCTGCATCTCAGACATGTACATGTCCACAGACCAGAGAAACAGAGAGCAAAGTTAGTATTAGCACTGTCGATAACTGTTACGATCTGTGTGGTGCCCCCGCCCTTAGTACAGGGGACTTGACCATTATTGTCTACTTCTGTAAAGTCCACAACAGATGGATGGTCATCACTTTAGGAATTTTCAGACGAAAGTGTAGAAAATTGACAACCTTTTAAGAAACTGACTAAAGGTTTCTCAGACTGGCAGAAAGGGCTAGCATCTCTCTGTTCATGACCAACTAGAGAAAGGGAGGTGGCCAGCCTGGACTGATGAAGGGAAGACTCATCTCTTCTCAGCTCAGGCTGGTGCATTTTCCCTTCTTTAGGATCTTGTTGAAAGCTAACCCATTTTGAGAAGCTCGCTCCCCAAAGATGGCATAAGTAAATAATAAATAAATAAATAAATAAATAAATAAATAAATAAATAATATAAATGAATAAGTGGAATAAATATACAGTCATTTCTGGACAATAGCCATTGTTGAATATGTACTTCTGGTTTTGTTTGTTATAAAGTCTAAATGGTAGCCTCAAAAACAACATACCCAGAAACAATAGAATCTGAAGGAGGTAAAGGAAGAGGAAGCATGGTCCTGTTGACACTTTTGGTTTAGAATTTTGGTCTCCATAACTCTGGGAGGAGAAAGTTCTGTTGCCATAAGCTTTCAAACTGGTGTATATCTGTCAGGAAACCAACCCATACTTTGTTAATCAGCTTTCTGTGGCTGTGACAGAATGCCCGAGTTAATCATCCTAACAAGAAGGGAAGGCTTATTTTGGCTCAGGGCTTCAGATGTTTCAGTCTGTGGTTACTGTTGCTGCTCTGGGTTGGTGGCAGCAAAGTGCATCATGGGAAATGTGTGGTAGAGGAAGACATTTAACTCTGGTAGCTAGGAGGCACAAGAGACAGAGGAAAGGGTTGGCATCCAATATCCTCTTTAAGGGCACACGCCAATGGCCTAACTTCTTTTCACTAGATCTTACTTCGTACAGGTTTTGCCACCTCCCAAAGCACTGTGGGTTGGTGACCAAGCCTGCATCTAACACCTTGGCATTTGGGTCGCAGGGCAGATCCAAAGACTAGCAGAGGCATAAAAGCTCAGGTTTGTTCCAGGTATGTTTCCCCTAAAAGATCCAAGAAATATAGAAAGACAAAGAGGTCACTTCGACTGTGAAGCCAGAATGGGGATTCTCTTCACTACAGCCTAGATGTTCCTGGTTCTGTGGTTGCCCCTCCTCAACTTCCTGCCATATTTGTTCTTTACCCTAAACCTGCAGGATCTAGACTGGCATTGTCCTTTCACAGAGACTCTGAGAAGTAAAGTGGCCTGCCGGAAGTTAGCACTTCATGGAGGTGGGATTGTACACTAGGCCAAGTGATTCAGTAACTCTAGCTTTTTGTGCAACTTTGTGCCTTAGTCACAGGCACGCTCAGGTTGAAATAGATTGTCTTTTTGGTTCTTTCTGTTCTGTGGTTCTTTCTCTTTTTTGTGGAGGCTGACATTCCCCTTCATCCCTTTCCACAAACACAGAAGTTTGAAACAGTTTGGATTTCCTCATTGTTTAACATATTTTTAGTGAAAATGCTTCACAGCATAGGGGTTCCTGCATAGCAACTTATGGGTATTTGTATAAATGCATACACTACAAAATGATTAATTGAGCGTTGTATGTTTTTATCAAAGGAAACACCACAAAGATTTCTCCAAAGTCCTGTTTGACTAGAGATGATTAATTTTAATTTTCACATGAGCAGCATAATGCTATTAATCATTTAATATGTGTAATTATAATCTCTGTAATTCCTAATTAGGTTTATTAAACTGAAACATTCAGCAGTTGTGCATAAATCCAAATCTAAGTCCCTTTCTTGGGATGAAGAGAAACTCATTTTAATTTTTTATTCAAACAGCAATTTCTAGCAGGATGGGGAAAATGGGATGGAAGCTTGGGGTCTTAGCTATTGTTCGTGCTAAATCAGAGTATGTGGTAGGGTGTTAAAACCCCTTACTCTTTGGCAAAGTAGCAGTGTCATCATTCAAGTTCTTTTTTTTATTTATGAATGTGGAACCCAATGTTCTGTCATTGTGAACAGTCCCTGCTTTGCATGGGTCTCAATGTTACAATATGATTCTGTGTGTGTGTGTGTGTGTGTGTGTGTGTGTGTGTGTGTGTGTGTGTGTACTTGCCGTGAGGTGCATGTGTAAGTCAGAGGCTAGCCTCAGGTTTTGTGTAGTCCTCAATTTCTACCTTGTTCATGATAGGGCCTCTTTGCTAGTATATATACCAGGCTACATGGCCTGTGTGCTACACGGGATTCTCCCGTCTCCACCTCCCATTTCCCAGTGGGTATACTGGGATTGTACATGTGTGCCACCACATTCAGCCTTACATGGTTCTAGGGATCCAAATTCGAGTCCTGTTTGCACAGCAAGTACATTACTCATTGAGCCATCTCCTCGACCCATAATGCTTTCATTAACTAGCACTTGAAAATGGAAAGGGTGGTGTCCACTTGTTCACTTGTGCAGCAACCATTAGTGCATTCAGTTGGTCACTCCTGAACAGGCATTTAACATTCATATCACATGCAAGCTGGTCACGGCTTGCTCCTGCTATCATTAAGTGGCTCCTCACAACTTCTTGCTTTGAGGCACATGGCTCTTTGGGGTCCACAATCCCCATCTACCTCTATTGTCCACTCTCTTGCTTGTCCTTCATGCATGCATCTTTCAGGTATCAGACTCCACATAGCCTCCTCCCCCATTTGTGAGCTTCCTCTAACATCTTTCCATCTTTGCACATGTTTGCTCTCTCTTGGCATAGCATCTATTTCTTCCACCTCTCCTAAGACATCTCCCTCTTATCACTGACTTCCAGGGTTGACGTGCCTTGGGAACTCCAGTTTTGTGTGTCCTTGACCAAAAGTCAATCAACTATCATCCCCACACAGCACTACCTACATTGTAATTGGTTTTGTTTCCCTGTCTCCTTCTCGCAACTCACCTGAAAAGTGGGACTTTTCTATTTAAGTACCACCACCTTCTTCCTCTTAGCAACATGGAGCAAATGACTGAGTGGTGGTTATCATGGGGCATTGCACCTCAAAGTCTACAAAGTCCTCACGTAGGGCTTCTGATACCAAATCAGTTTGGATGGATGGATGGTACACAAGTCATCGGGAGGTCTTGACTGTGAAATGCAATTTAGGGTATATGAAAAAGGAAGATGCAAATGAAATATCCCAGTAAGTAGAAGAGATGATGAGAAAATTGCTAATTATGCCCCTCTTATTAGGGTGCTTCTTTTACGTTTCACTCTGTAAGATTGTCTCATCTAGGTCTGTATTATTTTACACCTGGCTGCCTGCACTGATAGTTTTGTTCAAGCTATATACTTCTAAATTGCTTATAAATAGCTGAGGATGATTCTTTGCCCATGAATTTCAGAGGCTTTGGGAAAGACCCTACTACATCTTAGTTTCAAAGAAGCCAGTGTCTTATGTAGATGACATCTACTGCATCTAATGCCACCTACCGGCAGCATAAGCTAATTGCAGAGAAAGTACTTAATGAAGTAAGTCCATGCTAACCATGATACCCAGTGTTACTGTGACTTTTCTCTTAGTTCCTGCCTATATAAGGTACCAGAGTGATACCATAGTATCGAAAATTATCTGTGTGAAAATAATGGAAATGCTCATAGCCTTACATTGTCTACACCAGTGTAGCTCAGCAGAGCTTTTTTCACAGACATGGAAATACTATATATCTATCTGCATTTTCCAACACAGGCACTACCCACGTGTGGCTACTGAGCATTTCAAAATGCAGTGGAGAGAAACAAACCCATTTTTCATTTTATTTACTGTTCATTTTTAGAAATTTAAATATTTTCATGTGGTTGCCAGTTGTAGACAACACAGTTTTGTAAGAAACTAAGTTTATATCCTAGGAAAAAGTTGAGTCAATCAGCTGATTCATTAGATGACTGGCAGAATACCAAAGGGCCTTTTCAAATTTTTGACATTTATTAATATTTTATCTGTATAACCTCAGTACTTAGATATGCACAGGCTAAGAATCTGAGCAGCATTGATTAAGGAATGTGTGCTCTTAAGTTTAATGATCATTACTCCTTTCTTGATGAGGTTTCTTTTACCCACCCTGAACCCTCTGGCATCTCACAGCCCCCTACTCTTGCTTTACATTTCCCACAATGCTTATCTCCTTCCAACTCTAGATTTATTTATGAATTGTTTATATATATATATATGTATGATATCTTTCACCTGTGAATGTTGTACTCCATGACAACTGGGACTTTTAACAATTTTGTGTGCTACAGAATTCCAGATCCGTGATTAGGGCACTCAGTGGATGCTCAGAAAAGCATTTGTTGAATCAATGAGAGACTTAGAAGGTCATTTTCATACCATATAGGGGAAGGGGGAGCACACAGGGACAGAGTATTCAGAACCACTCAGAGCCTCTTTGCTTTTCCCTTCTTCCTTTAGCAGACAGATGATGCAGCACCAACGGACGGCCAGCCCCAGACACAACCTTCTGAAAACACAGAAAACAAGTCCCAGCCCAAGCGGCTGCATGTCTCCAATATCCCCTTCCGGTTCCGGGATCCAGACCTCCGACAAATGTTTGGTGTAAGTACTGTCTTGGTCCCCAGTTTCCCTCATGTGAGTTCTGGGTATTCACCATCCTAAGATGAGATGTTCACTTAGGATCCAGGCATTGTAGAGTCTAATACTGGGCCTTTTGTGGCTAGCATCCCTTTATGATGGTATATAATTTTGCTTTAGATATGCTCAATAGATTCCTACTTTGTCAAATGGTCATCTTCTAATAAGTAACTTAAATTTCAGTTAGAAAAATAAACTCCTATATTAACTACTATTGATATGATCCGTTGAGGATCCCAAATATAAAGGCCCAGGACTTCACACTGCAGCTAAAATAAACATTGGGAGTCATTGCCAACTTACCCAGAAGAGTGACTCACAGTGACTCTGGTCATGTTCTTTCCCAGGCACTATGCTTTGCAGCCACATCAAATGGCTAGTTATGCATAAACCTTAGTTAAAAAAATCAAATACCACCAGCACCAACCAACAAGACTACCAGTTTCTCTGATTTGATTCCTGTGGTATGCATTTTCATGGAATCACTGATGAAATTTCAGAGGCATTTACTATGCTACTGTAGCAACATAGGGCATCCTGGCCCAGGCACCTTGGTAGAACACAGAACTAGCCAGAAGTCACCACCAAACCTGAGGAAATTAAATAATGTCAGCACTTTCTCACAGGTCATCATAACCCTGATTATTCCTCCTCTGGAAGGTGTCTACAAAATCCATCAGGGGAATGGAAGAGTTTATCATCTCTTTGGTCTCAACTGTGCCAAAGGACAAAGCTATAACAAGGCTTAGATAACATGTTGCGGTTTAAAATATAGTCACTCTGTGCATCTATGATATACCAGCAGTGGTAGCAAGTGTCTGCACATTCAACCAAAAAACTACACATGTGCGTACTTAACATTGACAGAGAGCAAAGGTAGCTGCTTGGAGATGCTTCTAAATGTTTGTGGCAATATGCAAATATCACAAAAGGACTATGAAGATGCCCACGTTGAACGACTCACTATTAGCAAAGCTGGTATTATTTCCTGCATGAGAAGGAAGCTAAGGCTCATTACCCATGGGCTCCATGGTTTGGGGGATTAGCTTGGACCTTTTATTTTCTTAACACAAGGCTTATCAAGTATGCATCTGACACAAAGGCAGAGCAGGCATCCTAAATTTAAGGTACCCAGGCTTGATTCTTGACATTTCAGAAGAAAAAGGTCAACTTTTGCCTCTCTCCCTCTCTCTCCCTCCCTCCCTCCCTCTCTCTCTCTCTCTCTCTCTCTCTCTCTCTCTCTCTCTCTCTCTCTCTCTCTCGTAATAACCTTGAGTTAAGCCCTCTAACTCTTGCAGAACAAAGATACCCTTGGGCACTCTCAGGTCAAAGATGACTTTGAAAAGGTGCAGAGCATTCAAAGTTAGAGCTGAGGTTAAGTGTCTGCAAAGCAGTGGGACTTGGTTTGACTGATGGGTAGCTACAAGAATCATATCCTCTTTGCCTCATCAGATTAGAAGGATGTCTTGGTGTTCAGTCTGTCCTTACTTATCAAGTGTCACTGTGATGTTGACTTTGAACTTGATTCTCTTCATGACTATTCTGGCAATTTTTCCTGGTAACATGCAAGGCATCCCAGTTTCTCACCCTGAAGGGTCCATTTCCCTCCCAGGACTTCTTGATTATCTGGAAATTTACCTGAGGCTACAGGGGTTAAATCAGAAAAGTATTCAAAATATTCATGGCTGGAAGTCAGGGAGATGAGATCCTCATTATATTTAAATATCTGAATCTCTCTGTCTTAGCGGGGTCGGCAGATGGCACAGAGAAAGAATTGCCGAGTGTCCTGCTGCCTGCTACCTAACCTGGATCAAAATCTATTGATTTCAGAACCACTTATTTTATCTCTTTTGAGTCAAGATTTTCAAGTAGCTAACAAGATGTCGACTTGACATGATTCTAGATACCCTTACCATCTGTCAACTAATGGAATGCAGTAGACATTCATGAACACTAAAATTCTATTTATCACACGTAACATCTGTGCCTATCTTAAAGAATTTGTGAGGACTGTTGTGTGATATAGATTTCATCGATAAAGATTATTTTGCCATATGGATTCACAAACCACTTGCAATAACTCGAGAATCCTTGGTTTTTATAAGCCACCATTCTAAAGAAATGGCATTTTCCTAAAATTAACATTGGTGGTCACAAAGCCATTCTTATTACATGATGTATTTAGTGGCATGAGGTGTACCCAGGGGCATCTGTGTTATTCTGCTTGGCTCCCCATCATGGAGTTGAGGGGCACCAACAGAGACTCCATTTTCAGATCTTACTAGTAGTGGAAAACCATGTTTTAGTTAGTGTATTTCAAAGGCTTTTTCATGAGACAAGGTGTCTCTCTTTGTTGCAGTCTTAGGATTTTTGCCCTCTCACTTTGGCAGAGATTATAATGAGGCTATTCACAGATAAAATGATTCCAAAACATCCTGTGCCCTTCTTTCCCCTTGTCTCTTATGTTTTTAAAGTGGGGGAAGGGGGCATGGAGATTTCAAAGTTTATAAAAGAAAACCCTGTGTACAAAATAGCTCCCTTTTTATATTGCCTGGAACTTGGCAACTTCCAACTTCTTGTACAAGCATGGACACCTCTTCCATGCTGTTTCAGAGCCATCGCCTGCCTAATGGTTCTGACACGTGTCTCACATTTTAGTTTAGTTTGTGGCTTCAGTACCTCTTCCCCGAGATGAGCATCGTAGCTACCTGTCTTCTTTGTGTCGTCCATCCTCCACTTCATCCTCTTTGGGGTACACCTGCTCCAAGTTTGGGCATTAAATCTTGTGTTCGGTGTAACATTTCTTTTCCTGCTGTCTTTTAACGTATATTTCTTGGGTGAGAGGTGTCTGCACAAAGCAGAAGCCAGAGTGTTTTTAAAACATCAGTGGGGCTGAGGGATCAGAACTAGTGTATCATTAGAACCATTCATTCCAGGTCTCTCAGTGGAAGAATTGAGAAGTTGCTGGTCTCTGCCTCTGCTGCAGGCCTCCGGAGGTCTGCTGTGTCACTCTGGATAATACAGAAATATACATCCCTTCCCATTTGAATTCTTTTGTTCTGTTTTGTTATTTTTTTGGTGACGAGCTCTCACTCTGTAGCAAAGAGTGGCCTCATGCAACCCAGGCCCGCCTCAAATTCTTAAATCCTCCTTTTGGCCTCTCAAGTGCTGGGACTGCAGACATGCACATTTGAATCCATCTTTAGAAAGAATGGTTAATAAGTGTACTTTATGTAAATAACTCTTCTGGCAAGCAATGGGGAAGTCATTGCCTTTATTTAGAAGAAGGCTGTCATTAGGTGTTTGCCGAATTTATATGTGTAGCTCACTAACAGTCATAATCAGAGGGCTCCAAATTTCCATATCATAGTTCCACATTTAAATTTTTGGTCCCATAAAAATCTGTGTGGATTTCCACCAAATTAATTACAATGCATTACTCCTGAATAAAGTGCTGCATGTACTTTAAGGTTACAATTTAAATATTTCTGGATTTGAGGTAAAGGAAGAAGATTATAACACATCCAGACCTCGGAAACAACACGTGGCATTACAAAACTGTTTTTTACAGTTTGGCTTGTTGGCCTTCTCCGGTTCATACTACACCTTTGATGATGTCAGAGCCTCTTGGTTTTGTGATCAAAATAAAGACACTCTGGGGACTGGTTATAATTGTTCAGCTGGTAAAGTGCTTGTGATGCAGGCACAAATACCTTATTTCAATTCCCAGAACCCATTTTTTAGAAAAATCCAGATGTAGTGGCTCATGCTTATAATCCCAGAACTGTGGTGGTGGATACTGGGGGCTTTCTGAGTGGCCAGCCTAGTATATTTGGCAAATTTCATGCCAGTGAGAAGACCTGTTTTAAAAACTAAGGTGGATGATTCCTGAATTTGTCCTCTGGCCTCCACACACATGTGTCTACATGCACATAGGCATCTGCATATACACATGAGCACACACATACACTCAGTACACATACACCCAGTAAACAAAGACAGTTGGGGCAGGAAAGTGATCTGCTCAAGTCTGCCTTTAGTTATAACAAAACACATGACTTTCCACGCTTACACAAGAGAATGTGATGATCTCTTTTGATGGATTCAGTGTAAACAGACCCCCTTGTGTCTTTGGTTCAATGCCAAAGCTCCATCTACCATGGTGTTAGGAACAGCAAAGTCATTTGGAGGACACAACACTCTTTCTGTACTGAGCTCATCCTTGAGAAGAATGGGGATGAAGTCGCTCTTTGTCTCCTTGTACACATTTTGAGCTAACCTTTACCTTCAGGTTTTATGCCGTAGCTGTTGAACATTCTTCACATTTTTTCAGTGAAATATTATTTGATCTGAGGATGTCTAAAACCGCTCAGTACATATTTGCCCAAGTGCGTGCTTAGAAGCTTCTGGATTTTGTTCTTGATACAGCTATTATGGCACCTTGAGTGGGTCCGAGAGGCTGCTAGATTCTTGTGAGCATTGTAGTTGAGCAAACAAATGCTAGTTATGTCTGTGAACAACTTGTGTCTATTTAAATTGAAGATATGCCAGCTGTGTTGGCATCATTAGTACCCAACTTCCCAATTAAACTGTCAATACTAGAAATATAATGCACAACTGTCTCAGAAACGGGCCTTGTGTCAGCATTCTTCTTACAGCTTGTTCCACTGGCTTCGAGAACCATCAACCCAGAACCAACTGCCAAGGAAGCAAACACTGGAGATCATTTCAGGGCATATGGTGTCATTGTTTCATTTAGGGAAGGACACATGCTAAGATGGCGTTCGGATTGGTTCTACCCCAACCAGCTCTTATTTTAAGGCAAGTGTTTTGTGTTGACTGCTTAGAGAGCGTTCCACGGATGACATTTGCTTCGTGGTGTTGGGAGATGCCTTTTTCAGCCTTCTCCTTCCATAAATATATGTGCTTCTCGGCTCTGATGCCTGAAATAAATGTGAAAGCATCTGTGCGAACAGAGTAATTGGAAGCAGTTGTTCTTCTGAACAGCTTACAAAGTGGAGGGTTCTTTACTACGAAATTCAGCGCACCTCTGAATGGCCACTTCTTTCTTCATGTTGAAGTTTTCTTCATCTATTTTTAATGAGATTTGTTTTCTCTGCCCTAAAAATTGGCAATGAAAATGCTCTGAAGGACTAGCAGGAAGGCTCAGCGGACAAAGGCACTTGCTGCTGAGCCTGATGTCCTAAATTCAATCCCCAGTCTTCTCCTCTGACTGACTATAATCTCTCTCTCTCTCTCTATCTCTATCTCTATCTCTCTCTCCTCTCCTCTCTCCTCTCTCTGTCTCTCTCTCTCCTCTCTCCTCTCTGTCTCTCTCTTTCTCTCTCTCTCTCTCCTCTCTCTCCTCTCTCACACACACAGAATAATTTTAAAATATTTTTAAAGAAAAAACAAAGTGCTCTAAAAAGAAAGAAAGGGCATTCTTCTTTTGACCATAGGAATATTTGAGTGTGTGCCAAATGTAAAGTGACTTTGCCATCTGTCTATGTGAGGCTAGCCCTTCCACTCACTGCTGTGAGGCTAGCCTTTCCACCTGGTCTCCATGGCATGTGATTATTAATCTCCCATGCTTTGACTTCTCTATGAAATAACCATTATGAGTGCTCACCAAGAAATTTTTGGTGCCGTGGTTGGATGGGATAGTTGTCCCAAAGAGTGGGCCATGACACAGAGAGAATAGCATTCTTTGAATTTTTTATATTTTATATTCAGAGTTATTTTTATTTCAAGCATTTGCTAATTGCTGACTATTGACATACGCACGTTTTTCCTCTTTCCAATGAAGGTAGATTTCATTGAGTGTTCCAAACAGCAGCCTCTGTATAGTGCAAATATTTTTTTTTCTTTCTTAGACCAGCAAGATGGCTCAGCGGATAAAGGCACTTGCCATCAAACCCAGTGACCTGGGTTCAGCTCCTTGGGACCTACATGGTAGAAGGAGAGAACCAACTCCTCCAAGTTCTCTGATCTCCACATGCATGTGATGCCATGATGCCATGTGCCTGAATGCACACACATGTACATGCACATAATATGTAGTAGTTAAATAAATGCTCTTCACTCTCCAGGTGTCCTGATACTCAGAAACCATGGAGCTTCTTGACGTGGCCTGCCCCAGCTTCTTACAGTCTTACTGTTTGTCTCTTTTCTGCCATGGCCTCTACCCTCACCCACCCCAGGGAAGGAAATCAGTAGCAGTATATGCCATTGGTTTTCTGTTTCTTGGTTTGATCATTTGGCTATTTGTCTCCCATCCTGCATTGAGGTGAAATTCCCACATTATTCTTCCCTGGGCCAGAATGCCTGGGTCTTGTACCAGCCCCATTTACCAGCTTTGTGTGGTGTAGACCATATGCAAGAGATGCCTACACCATTTCCTGTGATGTCTAGGAAATTGATGAGACCCTGGAGTTAGGGAAAATGATGCTAGAGTAGTAGATGTTTATATTTTCCTTTGTATCAGTCTAATTCACAAAACATTTGATGATACCAAGACTGCCAATTTTGACATTTTTCACACATACACACACACGCACGCATGCACGCACACGACACAGTGATCAAATTTTGTTTTGTTTTTGAGACAGGGCATCCCTGTATCCCCAGCTGGCCTGGCACTCACAATGTAGATCAGGCTGGCCTTGATATCACAGAGATTGACCTGCCTCTGCCTCCCTAACGCTAGGATTAAAGGCATACACCACCATGCCCGGTCATTATGGTCAAATTTGAATTTCAGATAAACAAATATCCTTTTAAGTATTAAACAAATATCCTTTAAGTATAAGTTCTAAATATTTCATGGGAGTCATTTATCCTGTAAAATCTGAAACTTAAGGGTGACGAGATATCTGCATTTTCTCTTCCTGTCTGATTTATTTAATATCTGAAACTTTGCTTCTGGACTTGTTATAAAGCCTGTTATATTAGAGCTGTAAGTTTGTTCATTTAACAATACAGAGAATCACCTGGAGGAATATCATTTCGTTCTGGGCTCTGTGGGTATCTGATGCTGATGTACCCTGGGTACAGGAGCTTCCTTTTTGCCTGGTCTTCCCACACATGGTCTGGTTATTCCTAGTTTTATTGTGATGTCAGAACTAAAACCCACAACATCATATTCTAGGTGGGCATTTTATTATCAAAATCTCAGATCCTCCAGGGTGTTTATCCCAGTGGCTAGTGGAACAGTCTAGGAGGACATTGTATAAGCAATGACTAGCCATTTTTAATTTCTGCTGCTCAGTGCCTGGGAAATCATTCACACACACACATCGTACACACATACAGGGATAGAGATAGAGAGTGAGAGAGAGTTAACTTGTCATTGTGTCCTGGGCCCTAGCAGTGTACCTTACTTAGTACAGAAAACTGCCATCAAAATGATCAGATAGTGAATATGACTGCATTTTCTCATTTCAAGCATGTTCCTTAGCAGTGAAACAAGATACAATGTATATTCTTGATATTAACTGGGGGAAATCTGTCTGACCTGGGGAATAATTGCTGGTGTGTATCATGTGCTTTATCTTTCTGCTTATAAAACATTTCTGTTTATTTGCAGCAATTTGGTAAAATCTTAGATGTTGAAATTATTTTTAATGAGCGAGGCTCAAAGGTAAGTGACTTAATTCACTTTGAAGTTCCTTAGCTTATGGTAACATGTGTGTTTTAAGTAAGGGGAAACAACTGCACTATTTCAATCAGCACCCTGTGGAAATGCACTTTGGTGGGAATTTCTTTAGTGACCACCTCCCACTCCAAAATGTTGGGAAATGCAGTAGTTCCATTTAAAATGTATAGGGGATAATTTAAAATTGTTGTCTTCTAAATATATATACCTATCTCAAGTTTCCAGAGAAAAATTAACTCATGCTTAAAAAAATAATGATGTTACTACATTTTTTGTTTTTCAGTGATAATTATGTTCTTTATATTAAAAAGTGAGTTGATAGTCTCATGAGCAGGTAAATATGTGATTACTCTGTATTAATAAAGTGCAGTTCTTTTCCTGGGTTGTAGGGGAGAAAAATCTCATATACACCAACCTTTTGAATATAATTTTACTAATTAATGTTTTATCAACCCTCATTTTGCTGTATGCTATTGTTTTAAGTTTATTTTCTTTGTAAGAAAGCAATATTTAAATAGATCTTTTCCAAGAGCTAATAAATATTCATAACAGGTTCTATGAGAAGGTTCTAGTGCCTACAGAGTTGTATCTTGGGAGAAGTAAACATCACATTCTTCCAATACATGCTCTCTGTCAGTGGTTGTCCAAGTGCGGTCCCAAATCACCAGAGCAAGCAGCACTTATTAAAGATACTTGTTATTTTTAAAGATACATGTTATCCATCTCCAGGCCAGACCTATGGAACCAGAAACCCTGAAGCCTAATCCAGAAATCTGCACCTTAACAAACTGCCTAAGCTTGTCCTTAAAATGACAAATACAATATCTTTCTCTTGCTCAAAGGCCAAAGCCCTCCTCAAATGTAGACTTTCCTTTGGTCCACAAGTGTTCCATCACTGCCTCTGTTGTCATTAAAGTCCCCTCTTTTTATTTTTCTGCACCCTGAGAAGATGCGAGAGCCTCGTGAAAACTTTCCTTGAGGAGAAAGTGCCAACAGAAGTTTTGGCAGATAATGTTTAGTCTTGGGGAATGGTGGTAGAAAAGGGTGGACAGAGTCGCTGTGGAAGCCAGATGAAGCACATCTTTGAATCATAGTTCTGCTGTGCATCCCAGCTACAGTTTATCACGTCTTCAGTTCCTTTCTCTTCCCTTCCATCTGCAGGCTCTGAAAGTGCACATTGAGAAAATTTTATCAGACACAGAGAGATCATGGTTGAACTAGGTAACATCCCTTCCATGGGCAACTCAGGACAAGTCAGCATCCAGGAGGGTCCCTACTCACCACTGGTTTTGTTAAGTGTGCCACACGGCACATGCCAGCTTTCTTGGGTACTTAACCAGACAGCAAAGCAAACTTTCAGATGTAGTGTTCATTGGACCATCTACCCCCTGCTCTGATCCCTCTTAAGTAGATTTAATATTGACTGAATCAGACAATGTTGATCGAAGTGCGGGAAGAAAATCCTGGGACCTGTTCTTTCGCATACAGAATAATATTTTAATCTCCAGACAGCTGAAAAATCAATTCATTGTAAGTCTGCAGTTCTGTTAGTTGGAGACCTGATCACTCTTACACAAGTTTAGATATTTTACCATCATTCTCACATTAGGTCAGTAGTCTGTCCTCTGAGTTGGGAGTGAAAAGAATAAGCTAGTGCTCTTTTCTGTATATGAAATCCATTGCAGAGACTGTACTATTTCTGTACCTCCGTAGCAAAGTGAACTGAGAGGAAAACATACCCAAGCCTAAATCTTCACAGTCAAGCCTGATGGATTCTTGACAAAATTGGAGAAATAGAGTGTTTCCCAACTCTGTCCTCATTCTAAGCCTGTTTGCCATGTCACTGCTTTGCAAGGTATTCTTTTTTCCCTTCATTGCCTGTTGCTTTATTTTAATTTCTATTTCATTTACATTTTGTTTTGTAACATTCTGTCATTTGAATAAAGCTACCTCATTTCTTTTCAAGAGCTATTTAGGGCGAGTGCTAGAGTATTGTTGGCTATTTTGATAGTATAACACTGGTGCTGTTTTTAAGGCTTCCTCCATCATCCCCAGAATCAGCCCATCCCTGGGGGCTTAGGAAACATCCAAAATAGCCCTTGTGCCTGTCTCTCTCAACAGGAGCTTAGTCTCCCTTGCAGGTGTGGCTGCTGACTGGTACAGTGTCACAGAACGTCACTTAAACAGTCTAGCTGGGAGCTGCTAAATGGGGGCAGTGGCTCACAGAGGGATCCTTGTTATAGTTGACATCCGTTATGGGAAAGGCCTTTATTTAGAGGAGCGTTTCCATCTTAGCCCTCAAGAAACCTGAACCAAAACCCACAAAGAGCCAAGAAGTCTTCTCGTGGTCATTTATTCTCCATAGCACAGTCCCTGAGGCAGGTCACTCGGTGCTGAATGAGGATGACTCTACATGTATGCGTGTGTGCGTGTGTGCATCCACATACACCAAAGCAGTATCTGTAGGGCTCTGGGAATACGCAACCTGAGTATCTTAAACATAAATACCAGGCCTAGAAGAAAGTCAGATTTTCAAAAGTTGTGCCAGACTCTGATAATCAGAACTGGATGGTGTGCAGGAACAACTGATTCAACCATTCAACTATTCTTTATTTAAAATCATTCTATTTGCCTCTAAAATGTTTTATTTGGGGAATACTGCTAGATTTTGCTATTCTCTATCATACCTAAGAAATACACAACTCCGCCCTTGATTCAGCAGATACGTATCTCTAGACCACTTTCCTTTCAGGTGGAGTATTCCTAAAGTAAACAGACATGCTTCCAGCCCTCAGCTTCTCTCGACTATCAGGAAAGACCGGTCATGAGCAGCTGCAGTAAAATGCCATGACATGAGGAATTGTTGAGACTCTAGGCTGACAGGCCCATGGGATTAGAAGTAGGGAGGCTTCTAGAGAGAAGGGGCTAAACTGAGGGTTGATGATGAAAAGGAGGAATGCATTGAAGGGAAAAGAGGCTGTGTGTGCAAAAGTTGCTGGAATGAGGCAAGAGACAGGAAAATGAACCTCCACACCTTATCAACAGATGCTTGTTCTGAAGATGAGTTCCCTGCACTGGAAACTAGAGGACTTGAATTTGGCTAGCAAATGAAAAGTTTGTGCATTCTCCTTTCCAGAGTGCTTTAGAATCTAGAGTTTAAGATGTAAAGGGGGGAGGTAGGGGGCGGGGGGGTGGCGGGTTGCATGTATGCCCAAAAGGAATTCCACCCCCTAAAAACGCAGTACCAGAAAGGGGAAGTAGCCTGCAGGATAATGAGAGCTATAGTTTGCTGAAAGACTTTGAGATTAGCAAGCCCTGCTGTGCTGGTGCTCCAGCTAGTCTGCCATCTGGGCTGTTGATTGTGCTCCTCTGTGTAGCACAGGTCTCCTCCCCCAGGAAGCCTTCTCTCAGCTCTGACCACCTGTCATCGGGGTAGGTATGTCTCAGTGGAAGGAATCTGACTGCACTCTGATGGGCTCCCCTCCCTCCTTTCTCCTCCCCTCTTCCATTTCTAGTCCTTCCTTTTTTTCATCCCTCCTTCCCCTTTCTTTCTTCCCCTCCCTTCCTCTTTTCCTCCCTACCTTCCCTTTTCCCTTCCTTTATTCCCTACATTCTTTCTCCCATCTTTCCTTCACCTATTTTTTTTTCATTACTACTAATAAAACCTTACTCATACTAGAAAAGCACTCTACCGTTGAGTTGTACTCCAAGCCCCCTATTTATTTTTGTTTGCTGACAGGGTCCCACTAAGTTACCCAGGCAGGCCTTGAACTTGGGGTCTCCTACCTCAGCCTTCCAAGTAACTAGGAAAACAGTCATGTTCTGCTTGGCCATCTTCTTAAGTTATTCACTGTTTTACATCAACATCTCATTCTGCCTACCCCCGCCCCAAACTCTTTAAGGCTCTTTCATTCCTTTTCAAGGCAAAGGCAAAAATAGTCTACATCTTTTTAAGGACCGTCAGGTGCTGTTTCCTTGAGATGCTGTCCTGACCACACAGCAGGTCAAGAGAAACAGCCACAGCACAGCAGCACCTGCTTTCAGAATTCCAAGGCCCCAGGACTTGCTGCAGAGAGTACCTGGCAACTGAGACGGTCATACCACCGTATTTCTAGTCCTGATGGCAGTTTCCACATGGGAATTCTGATCATTTTCTGACCAAGGGAAGCCATATCTCTACTGGCTTGGGTGGGAAGTAGACTTGTCTAACAGGGGGACTATTTCTAGGACAAGCTTCATTCTGAATCCAACCTTGACAAATCTTGATGAGCCGTCCAGCAGCTTGGAATAAGGACAATGAATCGGGCTTTTCCTTCTGTGCATTTTTCTCTGGGATTGCAAAGCTCCTTACCTCTACCTACGTTCTTCATCTACATAATGTAGACTCCCAGTCAGCAGGTCTGCCTTGTGTTCAGATGGGAACCAGAAGAATGAGTTTCTTTAGGATAATGTTGGATAGGTATGTTCTGTTTTTCACCCATATAACAATGCTCCTTGCTGTTCTGTGTTAATAGACTTTTGATCCCAACCGAAATGACACTATCTTTTCCTCTGTGTGGGAGAGCTTTAGTGTCAACTTGACACACCTGGGTTGAGGGAGCCTCAACTGGGGAATTGCCTCCATAGGACTGGCCTGTGGCCATGTCTGTGGGTCATCTTCTTGATTGTTGAGTGATGTGGGAGGGCCCAGCCCACTGTGGGTGGTGCTACCCCTGGGCAGGTGGGCCTGTGTTGCATAAATAAAAGCAAGCCAGTAAGCAGTGTTCTTCCATGGCCTGTGCTCTAGCTCCTGCCTCCAGGTTTCTGCCCTGAGTTCCTACTTTGGGCTTCCAGATGAACTGTGACCTGGGAGATGTAAGCCTAATAAACCCTTTCCTCCCCAACTTGGTATTGGTCAGAGTATTTTGTCACAGCAATGGAGAAACAAACTAGGACATCCTCCATAAAACGGGAAGTGTTGATTATCTTTTCTTGCCTGATGAGTAACTATAAATCTCAAGCCCTTTTTTATCTTATTGCTTCCTCAGTGTTTGATATTGATGCTAGAGCGACTTGGACTCACAGGGTGTAAAGAACATATTGCTAATAAGTCTTGGGCATGCCACCTTTGCTGTGCCCTCTCATTTCAACACCAAATAAGAGTCATAAACTTACCTTGCCCCATGGCACCCTCTGTCCCAACCAGCAGTCTGAAATTCTTCTTATTCCAAATGCATGAACCCTTCTTTCCATGGTGTATAGTGAAGAGGGAGATCATGTAAATCCAGCAGGTAGTTTTATGAGGCAAAAGGATTTCTGGGCTCTGCTCCAGGGTTTCTGATCTTATTTGGTAAATACAAAACAGATCCCAGGAACCGAAATGTATCATAGGCTTCCACTGGCCAAGAGATAGAGTCGTCAAACGTTGAAAAACCTCCTTCCAAATTCTGTCCTTTTCTTGTCGAAGAGCGTTTTGCTTTTCCTTTGATTTTTTTCCCCCAAAATATTATACTAGGAAGTATTTTTGAGTAACCAATTTAGGTAGGCAATGTATACAAAGCTTTTGTTGAATATGTTAGCTAGTAATCAGATAACTCAGGCATATCTTGCTTCAGCACAAAGTCATTCAATCAAAGCAAAGACATTCAGGTTGTTTTTTCCTCTGTGTGTGATACTGACAGTATTTGTCTCCCAGCATTTGAGCACATGCATAGCACATGTCCTTAGAGGATGAGCCTGAATTTATAGTTGAAAATTTGTCTCTTAGCTAGTACAGCAGAAAACTCCTGGTCCAAACATCCCTCAATTTTGAGGTCACCATAGAGACCAACCACAGGACTGAAAGGCAGCATCAGATGGCTGTGACTAGTATGCATTTGTGATTATTGCACCTTTTGTTAGTAAAACTGAGCACCATGCCACCATGGAGTGCAAAGCAAGCATTTCCTTACCTATGTGTAAAGTTTACTCAGTACAAATAAGAGTTCCCACAAAATGCATGGTTTCACCTAATTTTCACCAATTTGTACCGAATATACTGATATTATTCTAAAGGTTGGTGTATATGTTTCTGGACAAAATGTATAAATAGATTTAGGGGTTTTGAAAGTAATGTCTCATGTTCGCTATACTCATCTAGGAATAATGTCAGTAAAGAATAAATGTGGGTATTGACAATGTGAAGTTTAGTGGGGTTGGGTTTTGAGGCTGAAATATTAAAAGTAAAACTATATATGTGTGAAGCAAAGGATATATTGTGCTATCAGTTAAAGAGGAAATGCTCAGAGTATTATATAGATTACCCTCTATTCAGCAAGTGTCTTTACCTTACCTTGCTACCTGTTGGTGTGACAAATAAAAGCCAGCCTAGAGCCTTACTACTTTGCTATGCATAGGCATGCTTCCTTTCTGGGTAATCAAATAGTGTGAACAGCTGTCTGTCAGATTCAAAGCATGTTTAGTATTGTTTATTATTTACTGGGAAGAGGAGGGGATGGTATGAATGGAGAACATTACTTGAATTATCTACATTGCTAGTCAACAAAATTTATTTCTATTCATTTCATGTGATTCTTTTTGTTGTTTATTACAACCGAAGTTTAAGATTTATTATAAAAAAGGTCTTTCCTTTTTTTAGGCTTGTTACTTTTATTTTTGAGAAGTAAAGGCTGTACAGTTGACAGAATTGAATAACCCTAAAATTGCATGAAGAAGAACTGTTCTTAAAACCACGCAGCATGACTCTGTAGGCAATGTTCCAGGACTTTGGCGTTCATGTTGAATTCTGTGCACACGTTTTAGTTGTTTTATCTTTTAATTTGCATGTCAAGAATCTGGTTCCCTTTCTTTTTCATCTTTATTTCTTTTTATTCTCTGTGACGACACTGTAAGTTTATTTTGATCTCGTTTTCTTTTGGTTTGATTTCTTTTCTTCCATAGTGACGTTTAGAAAGGTATTTTTTCATTCGTTTGTTTGTTTTGTTTTGGTATCCATCTTTGAATTCTTTAGGAGTTCCAGCTAATGGGTGACAGGACAGAAAAAATCTTGTTCACATGTGTCGCTTAATGATTGCACACCGTAGTGTTCTTATAATTTCTCTAATTTGCATGTTACAGAACCGAAGCCAGGACAAGAAATAGCAATGAAAGCGAGAGAACTTTACCAAGTGGTCGTTGACTGAAATAATAATATGCATGTTGTTCTCCTTCTCCCTCCTGCATGCAGGGATTTGGTTTCGTAACTTTCGAAAATAGTGCGGATGCGGACAGGGCGAGGGAGAAATTGCACGGTACCGTGGTAGAGGGCCGTAAAATCGAGGTGCATGTCTGAAATATTTTCCTTTTCATCTTTTTTTTTTTTTTTTTTTTTAATAAATGTCTGCTTCACGCTCATTTGTCGTTTTGGGCGCATCATTGGTGTCTCGTGCGTGACCCTGTTCCCTTCTCATTGTTTATATATATATATAATATATATATTTATATATAAAAAGGAAAACTGGCCTTACTTTTTAAATTTTACTTTACTCTTTATATTACTGCTGAAAGTGAATGACAAAAAGTGAGATGAAAGAAAGGTTAATCTGAGAGGTTCTGTTTCCTTTAATTTTATTTTCCATGTTTTATGAGCAATGGGTGCAGTAGGTTACAATGAGAACACAGTATTCAAACCAAATCAGATATAGCGAGGTAGTTCTTTTTTTTTTTTTTTTTTTTTTTTTTTTTTTTTTTTTTTTTTTTTCTTTTTCGTTGCACTTTAGGGTTGAAGAGGGATCCACAGTGGTTTGCAAATTAAACCAAATTGCAAAGGCATCATCATTCAAAGACTTTTTTTTAACGAAAAAATGAGAGGTAGCTGTCATTAAACCTTTCATTTTTTTCAAAGAAGCCAGCTTGAGTGTTTGCACTCTTGACTAGGCAGTGACTAACCAAACAGGATTTCCTGTTTCAGTACCTGGCCCCTGTGGATTGGAAACATTGATTCCACATTCTGACTTTCTGCACTTGCGCTTTGGAGCACTGGGATCCTCGTCAACATAACCAAAGGGTCATTATTTGTTAAAACTTAAAAAGAAAAAAAAAAAATACCAGTTACAAATGCTGTAGTCTCTGGAGTAAGATGTTGCATATTTTGCCTTTTTATTTTCCCCCTCCGACGGTAACGCTTAGGCCCCTCACCAAACTCTCAGTAACCATGGTAACTGTATACAAACCCATGCTGGCGATGGTGGTGAATGGTAAGTGACGAAGTCCATCTGCCGCTTCACGTATTTAGTGCTGATATATCTCTATACATATCTCTCTACCACGTGAATTTTTTTGACTTGTTGTATTAAGTTTTCTTGATGCTCTATTTTTTTGGATCTTTGGTACGCCTGTAATTGAGTGTACGTTTCTAAGCTATCCTGGGAGGCTCTGACTGGACTGAGTTCTGACCAGTGCACATCTTACTCAGATCGTTAACTCCATATTGTGTTACAAATGCACCCTCTTTTATCCTTTTGTTAGCTGTGACTTTAAAGCTTGAATGATTTGTTAATTCTTGCAATGTAAAAGGCTCTTGTTCCAAGTGTTGAATGCTAGATGTTGCTTCCCCTATGGATTTCCCCCTCCCAAAGTGTTGCACACGGCTTAAACTTGTCTGTCCCTTTCTTTGACATTTATGTTCCCCGTACTGTGTCGCCTCCCTCTTCTCCACTGCATGTCCCTTCATGAACTTTATTTTCTGTTCCAAAACTATCTCCTGTTTCTGTGTTACCATGGAGCACACGCATGCTTTTAAATCTTCAATTATGCAGTATCTTTTAATTTGCTTTTACTGTCTCTTTATTAAACTTTTAAATGAGATGACATTGCTTTATTGAAATGATTTGTAAGTTAAATTGGTTATGAAGTAAATGTAACTGTAAAAATGTATGATTTTGGGTTATGCACCTATTGCCATCTAAAAATTAAAATGCATTTTAGTTTTTTTAAGTTTCTGGGGTTTTGTTTTTGTTTCTAATAAGTAATCACGGTCATAATGCATGCAACTAATTGAATTGTGGGCTGACCTTGGAATCTGAGCTCATTCGAGTTTTCTATGTACATAGGTTAATAATGCAACAGCACGCGTAATGACTAACAAAAAGACCGTCAACCCCTACACAAATGGTAAGTAGACACCTGCCTTTCACAAAGCGTCCTCTCTGCCTCTTATGTTATTTAGCCAGAGAGTCTGGTTTTCATTATCTTAATTTGTACTTATTTTTCAAAACTGTATGACTGTCTACACTGTATTTTGATCATATCCTCTTTAACTCCCCTAAAACCGCTGTCACATCTACCACCCAACTTCATGTCCTCATTTTATGGTTGTTTATTTATCTGTTTTAATCCACTGAGTCAGTTAGCACTGCCTGGGCATGGGGTCATGAAGCTTGGGGAAATTACCAGTACCCACACTCCCCCTCCTCCAGGGCCAGTAGCTCCTCAGCTAAGTGGGGCCATTAGGAACCCCTCCCCAGTCCTGGAATCCTTTACCTGGCTTGATCTAGTTGCAGGTCTTATGCAAGAAACCATAGCTGCTGTAAGTTCACTTGTGCCTCAGGCTGCCTTGGCCTACATGGCCACTGTTTCCTTGTTGACCAGCTACAGTGAACCACCTAAAGATGAATTTTATAGCAAAGTAAATTTAGGTCTTAGGTTAAGAGAGTACACCTGCTTTCCCATCTCTCTCAAGTGGTCCCTACTTGGGATTGAGATCTAATGATTACTTATATCGTTTAATTTTTTGTGATCCTAGAAAATTAAGAGGAGAATGGGGTTTTGATTATAATTTTTTTAATCCGCATCTCCTTAATCATTTGTGGTTCCCTGAAGTGTGGTCACAGAATTTGATTTTGGCCTTCGGTCTTCTTTGAGAGCTACTTGGATTTTGCAGTGTCTTGATACTGAGTACCTGATACTGAGTTCCACAAGGAGAGCAGGTATAAAAATTTTTCCTTCTTGGGGCTAGAGAGATGGCTCAGCAGTTAAGAACACTGGTTGTTCTTGCAGAAGACCCGTGTTCGAATTCCAGCACCCAAATGGCAGCTAGCAACTGTCCGTTAACTCCAGTTCCAGGGCATCCGACAGCATCCTCTGTCTTCTGCGGGCATTGCATGACATGGGTGCACTCAGGCAATACATGCATACACATAAAATAAAAATAATAAAATATAAAAAAAATATTATTCCTTCTTGTGCAGGTTATCCTGAGCTGTTTGGGGTCAGGAGATGTTGCCTTGCTGTGTACTGCAGATCCCTTAAAACAAAGCATTTCTATAGTTAGTAAGAATGTTTCTCAGCACTTAAAAAAAAGAATCCACATGCACCTGTGGGTATAACTCAATGGTGAGTGTTTGCCTAACATGCATGAGGCTCTGAGTTCAATTCCCCACACAACCAAAAAAAAAAAAAAATTCACATTTATGAAGAATAATTAAATATGTTCTCACATTTTAATTCATTAATCCTTCTCAAAATAAAGTCAATATCTTTTCACATATACGAGAGGTAGATTCTGCTGTTCTGTTGGTCACATACTAAATTAGAAAGAAAGACAACTCAATGAGTATCAGTGCTGCCTGAGTTCAGACCCCAGCATCCATATACAAAGCCAAGTTTGGCTGCACACGTGCCTATGTCCCTAGCTCTGGGGGGCACAGATGGAGACAAGAGAATGTCGCAGGCTGGCGGCTTCACTCAAGCTTCAGTGTGGGACCTTGTCTCAAAAAGGAAGAAGGCAGAAAGTGGGTGGTAGAGCGAAACATCCCACGCCAACCTCTGGCCTCCCCACACGTATACACGTATGCATACATCACACAGTTGCACATACACACACTCATACACATTAAATAAATAAATATATAAGTACACAAAAGTGATCCAGCATGTGAAAGGATCTGAACTTAGTAGATTATTAAAAATGAACACCACAGAGCACAGAGGTAATGCTGGGATTCTAATGAGTAACACAGAAACCAAACAGTGAAAACCATGTCTCCACTGTGATTTCAACTAAAGCAATTTTTCTACCAAAATGGTCATATTGCATTGAATTGCAAGATGAAAAGGTATATTTCTTTGACTTACAGGTTTTGGAAACTAATGTAATTTTATGGAACATAACAGAGAAATGTATGGGATTTCGATTTTTAAAGTTTTAGTTGTTCCTAAAACACAGAAACAGACTTATTTGAAAACAGAAACAACCAAGGAAGAAACAAAGCTGAACGTGTCTGACTCATACTCTTGCCAGCCTGGCTTCCTGCCTCCCCTTCAGAAGCTACGATTACAGACTGTTGTCTATAATTCATTTTGCATTTTAGGCAGAGACATATAAAACCATATATTTATAGTAGTCACAGTGTCGTCTACACATTTTTGACATAATCAGCATTATGATATGAACAGCTTTTAATTGGCTTTTATGAATCAATGCAGACTCCTTTAGATGCTGGTACGTACAGATGGAACTGGTTCTTGCTCATGCTTAGGTGGCATTCCACAGAATGGAGGTGGGGGTTTATTCAGAACATTAGTGCTTTTACTTATTTCTATTTTTATACTGACATTTCTATTTTGATAGCTTTTCTTTATTTTTTCCTGCAAGTGATAATGAATTGGACTAAGTCAATGTCTTCTTAATTTGAAATGTTATGTCATTAAACAAATATGTGCCCTCAGTGTAATGTGGAAAGGACAGAAGAACGTTTTATTCCACTGACCAGTTTGCCTAGCTCTAGCAACCCAGGGCAAACCCTTGCATGATACAGACAATGTAAGCCACAGACTTAGAATTCCCAACACTGGAAGGAAGTGAATCCTTGATTTATATGCTATGAGGTATTTCTGTTGTGGTAAAACTCATAGTTCTGCAACTTGTAGGTGTTAACACATGGCGATAGCCACCTGATTATTATGTATTTAAAAAACGTATCGAGTTTGTATTTATACCGCATAAGTGCAGGTATGTTTGCATGCCTCTGTGAAGGTGTGAAAGTGTGCTGAGTGGAAAATAAATGAAAGAAAACAAATAACGGGGACTGGGAAGATAGCTCAGTGGGTGAAAAGGACCAGAGTCCAGCTCACTAGCACTCACATAAATGCCAAGTGACTGTGGTCACTGCCCACCTGCAGTCCCAATACTCAGCAGGCTGAGACAAAGGATCCCTAGACAAGCTGGCCGGCTATATCAGCTGAATCTTCAAATTCTAGATTTAGCAAGAGACCATTTCTTATTAAATAAAGGGGTGTGAGATTGATGAAGAAACCCAAGGTCAGCCTCTGGCCTTCTGGCCACCATATTCACCTACATACACCTGTGCCCACATCTATGCAGACACACTTGCATACCATACACATATGCAAAGGAAAAAGAAACTACATGTGATTCCATAGCACATATGTACATATTTATTATAGAGGAAGATGATCATTTTCATACCCAGAGACTGAGAACCAAATACAATAGGTTTCTCTTTTAACACAACTCAAATCATATTCAAAGTAGCCTGCATTCCTGGAACACCATGTGTTATGCATTATATGAGGCATTTTAAAGATACTCCACTAAGATGAAGGCCTGCAGAGAGAACATCATGCCCCCTATTGTAGAGGTGCAGAAATTGAGGTCAGAGAAATAATGAATGAAGCCTTTGGTTTTGTGTATGAAGTATCAGAACTACAAGGAGAATTTCCTGTAACTTATAGTTCCATAAAATTGGGAAGCTGAAGGCTCTTAAAATCCATAACAAGAGGGTATGAGTTTGGTAAGATGCTGTTTTAGTGAGTTTTTCATTGTTTGGGAAATATACCTGGTGTAAAGCAGGGAGGAGATATTTTTATTCATATTTCCAAAGGATTCGGTCCACAGCCCTTGGCGCTGTTGGTTCTGACTTGTGGTAAGGCAGAACATCATAGTGGTAGAACATGTGGTAGAGACCCCTTATTTCACAAGAAGAGATAGAATGGATCCAGGGACCAGGCATAACCTTCAAAGGCATGTTCCCATTAACCTACTTCCTCTAAATAGACCGGATCTTTCACCTCCTTCCCCTCAAATGCTACCATATGGTTCATCAGGGGCCTATTGCATCGACTCTTTTCTGAACCTTATAGATCCAATGACCTCCCCCAAACTCATCAGCTAATAACCAAGAACCCAGTACATGAGCCTCCGAGGGGCATTTCATATTGGAACCATCACAGAGAGGCTGCCAAGACCTATGAAGTCATATTGGAGTGAGAAAATGATCGTTTTGAGGTTCACCCTTTAGCTGCATAATTGATAAACCATAGAAAGTATGCTTTACCAAAATTATAGATTGTCAAACTTTGAAGCCCATCTTTAAGTATGGAAATAAAGCTTCAGTTGCTGATGCCCTGATCATGAGTCCTTCAGTCATGCATCCAACTGAAGTTTCAGCAGCTTTAGAGTCTCCAGTCATCAAGAAGACTGGGCTGAAATGCAGTGGAAAACATATGTAGGAGGATCTGCTACAGAGCACTGTGGCTAACACCAGGCTAGAGGATGCAAGTAACATTCTTAGGACTTTCAGAGATGGGTATAATAGAAGACAATAGAAGCAGACAGGGGCCTTTTGCAAATCTCACCTGTTCGAAAGCTCTGCCAAGTGAAAAGCAAACTATTTCTCTTTTTCTGTGTTTTCACTCTGAAGAGTGACGTTTCCTATATTTAGTCAATATCAAAGGCTGGATCTGTGAAACAAATTTAAAACTGGATTTTGCAGGAGTTCCTGGAAATTGGAAAGCACGGGTATTAGATGGGACTCTTTAGAATTTTTTTGTAAGAATGAAAACTGAACAAAAATACCCAAGACCATGGAGAAAGGCGGCCTTTGTTTCCAGTGTGAGTTCAGCCAGTGACCTACTATCAAACTGTAGCCTATATATTTAAACGTTCTGCCACCTGATTTGTCCAGTGGGACCTGAGCACACACTGGAACCAACGTCACAGGTATCTGTAATCTTTAGAGGACGTACTCAATGTAACACTGTAGAACTATAGCATTTAATTACACAATAACCTCAATGTTAAGTTGGCATCATACTCCTTTATTCTGTGGAGTAAAGTTGAAATTCTAGATACTGAGGATCAAATATTCATA